AAGCAGCCCTAAAAGATACATTCCCACTACTTGAGAGTAACCACTATCTTGGAGAAGAACAAGATTAAGAAATTCCTTGTGTAAAGTTTATCTTAGAGAAGGTCTAGAGGACTGACTATGGATAATGACATATGTCTCTCACTGGAGATAGACATCATGAGACCTACATATCAAGCTTATACACCATCTCCCCACCCTTTGCTCCATTCTTAAAATCCTTAAAAGACACAAATCCTAAGCTCTAAGTGAACCTCCTGGTCTGAGGTTGCCCACACTCCCCTTTGAGTGTGTACTTTGCCTTAAATAAAACTTTCTCCTGCTCAACTTACTGTGTTTTGTCTCTGTGCTCTTCCAGTGGTATTTTTGTTACTTTGTTATTTCATTAAGTTTTCTAGACTTCAGTGCTAGTCTTCTCTCTCTCTGTTCTACTTCAGACAAGTAGGGAAGGGCTACTAAGATCTCTGATTTTGGCTTGCAAGTTCCGTCATGTGGGTGATCTGGACAGGACTGCAGCTGTACGATCCTGCTCTTTAGTAGCCCGCCTGAAAATCTCCTTTCTTTGCTTTGGGAAGTTCTCCAAACATAATCTCTCTCCATCCAGTGCACTGTGGCTCCCCCAAATCCTGGGTTGCTAGGGACTTAGTTCCTATGCTACGCAGATTCAAGCAGACACAGGACACCAGGTGACCTTGGCTTCAGGAGTTGTCAAGGGATCTGCCCAATGTCAAGCAGGAGTTCAGTGAGCGTCCCTTTTCTCCCTCTGACCTTCCTTGCTCTCTGCTGCCTGCACAGCTGCTTCCATTCACTGCTATTCTTGCTTTAACGAATTCTTTCCTTACCTACCCTCGTCCAACCTGCTCAAGAATTCTTTCTCGATCAGAGCCAAGAACCTTCCCCCATCCAGGCTGAGGTTTCAGCAAGTGTTCAGAGAGATAGATCTCTCCAGATGCAGCTGCTTGGCAACAATAACTCTCTGCTTGTGTGTGAATGACCACAGTAAATAAAACTAACTGGACAGAGAACTGATCCGAATGAGCACCTCCTCCAGCTGTTTGGTAATTACATGAATGTCTAAGGTCTCAGTCTATTTGGATATAAAGATAAACAAGTAGTTCATAACTAACCTACTGAGCAAAAATGCTAAAATTAGGAAGCTTGTTTATGGGAAGTCTGCTTGTGTTTTGTATTAATTAAGGCAGATCAGGGGTTGTGGTCAAAATACATACAAAGAAATAGCACTATTTTTAGAGTCTTTTGGAAAATAAGTTTATTAGATGATTGAAAATAAACTTTATCTCCCAAAAGATATATGTGACTTCATATTCTCTTGCATGTACATGGCTTTGGCCAAAACTTTTGGGCAGAATCCCCTAAAATGAGTTCTCTGGAATTCTAATTCTCTGAATTATTAAGATGTCTTTGAAAAAGGAGTGTGTGTTCACATGTTTGAGATATTAGATATACTTTCAGTTTCTGTCAATTGATGCCTTAACATCTATAAAATGACCATTGGTTGTTCCCACGTAAATCCTAGCTCACCTAAAACATCTGGAGACTTAAGATAGCTATAGACCATATTCTCTAACAGTTAACAGTGAATTCAGATTTCACAGAGTGCCATTTTCAAACTTAGATAGCTAATTCTAAACCCACTTACCCTGATCCACCCATTCCTTTCCATGGAAACCACAGTAAAAGTGTATTCTAGCAGTTCTCCCCTTTCTTTCCGCCTCATGATTCACTCTGGTACTTCCCAAGTGGCCTTGTGTGTATGCTGTATTCACCCCAGGGACCTGGGAGTATAATAATACTGTAAAACTGTTTCTGGTTTCTCTCTTTGATTTGTGTCTGGCCTTACTATACCTCACTTAATGTAATATAGGTTAAAAACAAAACCATGGACTAGGAAAATGTTATTGCAAGACTCACAGAGATGTTAGTATGTAAATGTGCATTCTAGATTTTCAGTGTCAAACTTACTTAGTTTGATAATCTTTTTTCTTTGAGCAATATATATTATGGAACTAGCATTTCTGGGATCCTCTTTGGGAGGCACTGTTCTGGAGAAATATTGATTGTCTGGGAGACTTAGTGTGTTAGTATTTTTTGAAGATAAAAATGCACTGGCATCATTGTGAAATGAAGTCAAACATTACAGTCTAAGGGAAGCTCAACTCCCACATGAAATTTAACCTGTAGACTTATCTTTCACCAAAGATTTAGCACAAAGACAGTGAATTATTACATCTGAATGAACTTAGTTTGTGGAGTCTATATATTTAAAAATACATATATCTATTATTCTGCCTAATCTTTGAATAAATCTTTTATGAGCAAGGTAAATGCTTACTAGATGTCTTCTCTTGTATATTCATTAGGCACCTCTGAATCTGTCTATACTGAACCACATTCTACTTTCCTCCGGTGACATTTCCATTGACCCATTCACTCATATTAGACACCCAGGACTCTATCAGTCTCTTCCTTGTTCCTTACACAGTATTCATCCACATCCCATTAATCACTTTGTTTTAGCATCATCTCTCACTTCATAACAATGCTCTCCATTTCCAATACTGGTCTTAGTTCAGACCCTCATCATCTTGTATTTCAGTCATTTTCATGGTGTCTTAACAGTCTCCCTTTCCCTAATCTGCACCCCCCCCTCTGAAATCTTTCATTCATATTGATGTCAGTGATTTTTTGAAGTGCATTTTTGATCATGGTGTTCGCTTTTTATAAACTACTTGCCGACAGATTTGCTATCATGCTACAAAAAATAAAGTGCAAACTTTCAGCTCAGTCGTAACCATTTTTCTACTGTCCTATCCATTCTCTCTTTTCTAGTCTTCTCTGGGTTCCCTCCTTTAGCCCAAGATGCCATTCAGTCATATTAGTTTTGCTGCCTGGCCTCCCACATGGCAGGCTGTGTGATGCCATTGTGCTTTTTACACCTTTTGCCAGGGGTCATCTTATTCCTATATTAGCTAACCAATAGCCCTCTATTCATCTTTCAAGACCAAGCCCCAGAGTGCCTCTCTCTTTGAAGCCCTTCCTGGTTCCTTTCCTATCTCCCACCAACTATACACTCTATACAGTTTTAGTATATTTATTTGTTCATGCTTATTTTTCCCTACTGGATGGTAAATTCCTAGAGGTAAAAGATTGTGTATTACTAATCTTAAAATCTCCAAAGCCTGACATAGCATTTGATACATTGAGGAATGTTTTACAAGTCCTTTTGTAGTATAAGGATCATCATTTACTTTTAGGCACAAAATAATATAAACTATGCATTGTGTATTCCTGATTTTACTTTATGTATTAATATGACTGAAAAAGTGTCTCCTCTGAATTAATCACCTGACATTGCCTCCTGCTTTCTAATATGATTGGAAAGTAAAGAAGAAACACATACTTATCTTTGGATAGTTTCCTTAAATCATCCTGTAACAGAGCTGTGGATTCTCATCTTTTTCCCTCACTGTCTCAAAATCCTAATCATTATGAGTGTTTTTGGAAACCAAAAAAAAAAAGATTCCCATCTCTGATTTTTCTTCAGAGTAAATAGAATTGTGGGGGCAAGTATCCATGTCAGTACCCAGAGAGAACAGAAGTACCTTTTCCAATCCCCCTATTTCAGATTCTTAGGGATCAAGGAAGAAGTGGAATCTTCCACCTGCCATTTTAGAACAGTAGACAATGGAGTTCCTTAGAGGCTTGGGAGAGTGCACCACTGTCTAAACTCTGGACCATGCTGTAAAACTCAAGCGGAGACTATAACATAGAATTCTAGCTATTTGTACAAAATTGTAGGAATAAAAAGGAAATATGAATATTTGATTTTATGATGACGAATTTCGTGGATTCACCTTAAGTCAGTTCTTGTGAGAATTTTAGAAACTGTTAATTGTTGGGATTCGTAGTCCTGGGTGAAACTGATTATTTATCAATACCTAATAATTGGTTTATAAAAAGAAAACAGTCAAGTTAGCCACATTTAAAAATCACTTCCATCTCCAATTTCTTCTCTCTTTTCCCTATTATTATTATAAGAAGAATAGATCTTAAATATACCTTTAAATGAAAAGAAAGAAGTATGTTTGCAAAATGGGTGCCTTCCATTGTCTTCAAGATGCTGGGTACTTTAACGAAAACCACTAGCACAATAGGTTCAAAAGGCTTATTCCCTGTTCTGATGACATGTTGGGGGATATTGTCTGAGAAGTAGGAAGGCTAGGGAAGAGGCAGTAAAGAAGACGCCTTGAACTTGAAAGGAACAGAATAGATTTTTGATACTTACAGCTGTCCTCTTCTTCAGTTATACATTTCACAACATAACAGGAGTAGATGAACCCTGCCAGCTGAAACGAAACAAAGATGCTTTAGACATGAGGCAATGGCAACAGTATTGGACCTCACTGGGGAGGGCGGCTTTTCAAAGGCAGGCAGTTTACGAATAGACTCAATATTCTGAAATGGTTTATCAGGCAGAATCTTGACCCCAGGGTGGATTCTTGATTCAAGTGATGTATTTCTGTCTTGTAAAGAAATTATGCTCTGTTTTTCTTTGATAGACAGTCTAAAACAAGTTAGTTTAGGTGTAGGGGAAACAAAGAATTATGGACATTCATGAATGAAATAATATTTGCATTTGTGCCAATCAACTTCTAATTTACTTTCATTAGCTAAGACCCATGGAGTGTATAACTGGAACTTCAACTGACTACCAGAAAAATGTTTTGAGGGAAAAATATTAAGGAAATTCTATAGTATGTTGCATCAATGTTTTTAAGTGAGAAAACCTCTTATTTTGACAGGAACATGCCAAGGATCATTAGGATGACATGTTACAGGGAGTGACAGGGTGGACAACTGTAAGTAAGGAGTGTTGCAGGGCATTGAACACACACACCGCATCATCCTTTCTGAACATGCTACACAAATGTGCCTGTGGTCAAGGAAGTCTTTGTTCCTTTTCTGTTTTTTTTTTTCAGAAAACCACTCAGATGGCATTCTCCCCCTCTTACCCCCCTGAGGGAAGAGAAGGACAATCATCATGGGCAAACAGCAGTTGTGGATGCAACACCAAAAACCACTTCAAGCTCAGGAGGCACGTTCTTGTGGTTTCAGCTTCTCTACATGTTAAGAGAAACCTCCTGGTAATGAACCATAGAAATGACCCCTGAAAGGCTGGTCTTCAGGGAACTCCCTGCTTATTGAAATCACTGCCTGTTAAGAAGCACAGCAAAGTCATTTGATATCTACCCCTCCAACTGAGTGATTTTGTATTTCTTCCTATCAGTATAATATTTATGTAGCCAAATTATGAGAACTGATAGAAGGAAGCAAACTAATATAATTTTCTGATCATTGGAAAAATTTCCCTCTCAAATAATCCAGTTTGGGGTAATCCTTAAAGGTAAATCCTCAGAACAGTGATAAAGATGATTCATGCTGACATTCCAGAAAGGCAATGATCTGTCCGAGAACTGATCCCGCATGATAATTAATATTTACCATGGGAAGGGGATGTTACAAAAGGGTGAAGACTTTTATCAGGAAGCTAAGGCACAGGGCAAAGAGGAGCTGCTGTGATAAGCCTAATGAAGTTGCTTTTCATTAGCTGACAGTGATCTTTCTGGAAGGAGCAAGTGACACATTTTAAGTCAGAGGGTACACTGATAGGTATTGAATGAGCACAGAGTATTTAGAGACAAAAAGGGGCCCAGTTATAAGGAGTTTAGAAAATATCTAATTTGGGTTTGAGAGAGAAAGCAGATTCTGGTAGATTCCAGCTCTCTTGCAAAGAGAACTGGCAAGGCATAAAACTGTGGTTATTCTGGCCCAGAAATAGTGACCCTGGTGACAGGAAGAGGAATAGCTGGGGAAGAAGACCTGAGCTCCATTATTTTTCAAGGGCTTTTGTTTTCAGATCTTGGATGAAAAGGAATGTGTATCCCCTGCCTTCCCACCCACAAATATAATAGATGAACCAGTACACATAGTAGAGAGCTAAATAAGAATACCACTGATGTGATATTAGCAGAGTCAGTTTTCTTTTTTTTATTATCTCAGAAAAATCATCAATTCTGCATTTTTCTCTTTGAATGATATGTTGTTATTGGCAAGAAAATAGTGATAATGAGAACTATTTCTTTATAGAATTAAATAATCAAGATCATTGTTTTTATGGAGCTTATCTTTAGAGTTCGGGGTACTATTAAAAACCAGGGTCTCCTATTTGGCTTTAGCAAAGATTTTGATTTGACCAAATAAAATCACACAGTGATTTGAGCATTTTCATGGGTACTGAAAAAACAGACTAAGCTAATACTTCTCAATCCTTTATCCACCAGGACCCATGAAAGTGCTCTAATCATCCATGGGCACCATGCCACTGGGGTTTGGATCTGATTGTGGCTAAGCAAAGAGGCTGTGGCTTTGGTTGTGTCCCTTGAGAACTGCCTAGAGCTCCTCTCCTTCCTCCGCATAAAGTCCTTCGTATCTGTGCAAACGCTATGGATTTATCAATAGTTAATCTCTTTTCTTCAGTTATAAATAGTACTCAAATTATCTACAAAGCAACTTTTTCCCAATTACAAATGTTTCTTTTGATTTTCATTCACCACATCATTACTTGCAAATGAAAATCTAGGTAAGGAATATTGATAAATTCTGAGAGTCAGGGCCAGTAAGTTTAAACTTCTCATGAAAGTGTCACAAGATTCTAGGTTATTAACTGTACTGCTCTCCCAGAATATAGCCAAGGCACTGTATTCTGCTTACCAGTGATCTTTTAACTGTATTCAGTTGCATTCTTTAACTGTCAGGGGAGCTCCTTTGATACAAGAGTAAATCCTGCTGCATTTCATTACAAAAGCTTGCTGATTAAGAGAATTTCAGCCTTTAAATTGGTTACCCCTAAAAACAAATGGAAATTATTTTCCCAAAATTAATCAAGATTTGTATTTCCTGTTACCTTCTAATTTACTTACACCATATAGATTTTTAATTTCATTTTTACTCCCTCATAACAATTTATAAAATTTGCTTGCAGAAAAAGGGTTTCAAATAATTTCTAAAGACTCTGAATGCTTTCCTATGTGCAGCTGAATGTGCAGCTTTGCTAATTGCTACCTGGGATGCCAAGATGAACTAAGTCAGGGTTTCTCAACTTTGGTGACATTTTGGGTTGGATAATTCTTTCTGGTAGACTCTGTTGTGTGTTATAGGATGCTTAACTAGTAACCTCCTACAGTCAAGACAGTTGACAGTCGAGACAGTCAAAAATGTCTGCAGATGTGGCCATTTGTCCCTTAAAGGAAAAATTTACCCTTGGTTAGAGCCACTGTTTTAGAAATAGTGTTATCCCTAAGGAATTTTCAATTTTGTAGCAGGGATCCACATACACATGTAATTCAGAGCAGATTTAGATAAATGTCAGGGGGAGGGAAGACCATTGAGTGTCTACTAAGTGACAAACAGTAAACTGGGTGCTTTCAGGAGTTAGCTCATTAGTTCTCACAGCCATCCTTATAAGAACAGTATATATATTTTTGCACAGAAGAGATAAAATGGGTTTTGCTTTTTCAGAGTGAGTTCACCAAGAGGGAAAGGTATGCTTTGTGGTCAGAGAGAGAAGCCAATAGTTCTACCTAAGAGTTTGGGGACCTCATATAAGAGCAATGGAAATAAAATCTGTGAAGGAAGATTAGGACTGTGATGTGAGGGCTCTGAGTGTGTATCAAACTGCAAATCTAACTCTGCTATTTTCTACACAATACACATAAGAAATACTCCATCTTCTGAAAATGCATACAATTTTTCATGGAACACAAATTCTTCCTACTGTGATACCTAATTTCTTTTCTAGCCTCTTTTGCTATCACTCCTAGTCTTGGAATTGATGCCAGTGTTAGGTAGAAAGACAGACATGAGCAGGTTGGAGAGAGAATAAAGCCAGTAAAGCCCACTAAAAGGGACTCAAAGAGTTAACCAGATACAACCAGAGAGCCAGAAAGGACTCAGAGAATTAGTTAATCACTTGAAGTTTCAAAGGCCAGGAGTGACTTGAAATGTCCAGGTATTCCTCATATGAAGACCAATTCCCCAAATAAAGAAAACTATCAGAACACAAACACTCCCCAGATAAAGAAAAACATCAGAGCACAGCCCATGTCTTCATTGTACCAATTAGATCAGGCCTCCAAGGCCAAAGACTGTCAATCAAGGACTTCTCTGTCCTGCCAAAAGCCCCATAAAAATCCTTACAGTAAGCAGTTGGAGTCTCCCTGTCTAATCTCAGGTAGGCCCACTCTGTTACTCTTTCACAGGGTACAATGAAGCTTACTTTGCTTTCTTGACTTTGTTTTCACTCTGACTTCACTGCATCTTTGAACCAGATTCCTTCCCAACACCAGTAGTAAGCTGTTGATAGTTTGCTGACATATATCAGATGGCTTCCCTCCTCTGTTTTTTAACTTACTAACCCATTCTGCCGACAGAGCATGTGAATGCCCTATGCCTCCTTTCTTCCCTCCCTGCTCACTTTGCATTTTTCAGTAATTCTAACCAATCCTTTAAGACTGAATAAGAGTGTTGCCTCCCCCAGGAACTAGCAATCCATGCCAGTTGCATTCAGTTGCATTCTTTAACTGTCAGGGGAGCTCCTTTGATACAAAAGTAAATCCTGCTTTACGTTGTAGGTTGCAGGTTGGCCCTTTGGAGATAGAGTTTGAGAGATGGGAGGGCTTTGAGAAGGAGTTATCATGGGAAAGGAGAGAACATCTTCAAGAACTCAGAGAAGTTTTGGGAAGCTGTGGATTATGTTCAGGGAGGAGAAAGCAGCTCCAGTTCACAGGAGTTTGGATGATGTGAAGGGGAATAATGGTGCCCAAATCAGAGAACTGTGATCACACTGTCATAGTAGATCTGAGTACCTGGAATTAAAATAAAATCATTTTATTCTGTTTCTGACTTACAGGTGACTAGAATAATAATGAAAGATACCAGTGGTATTATACTAAGCAACCATACAATTATCAACTTCTGAAAAATCAAAATATTCTAGTTGTTTTAGTCATTGGCATTCAAAGCAGAGCTAAGCGTTAGTCTTTTCATTTTTATTCATCCTTTCACCTTGATTCAAATAATATGATTTGTTCAGTTCTAATTCACCTGATAGAGAATTACAGATCTTGATATCATTACTGGTAGAAAGGAAATGATATTTTCTCTCTATAACTAAATCAGATTATAATTCTTTTTTGCATCTACAAACCAAATTATGATTGTATGTCCCAGGAATTCACTTAGAAGCTAATAGATAAGAGGAAAATGAAGGCTTTTGGTAAGTATTTAAAGACTCAATTATAGTAATTGAAAATGTAACAACTTTAATGTTTAAAATACTATCTTTTGGACTTCTCTTTCTAGAAAGTTGAAGCAGACATATTTTTCCTTAGCTCTCCCACTAAGTACAGCTAAAATCCCTGGAAGTTTTATATATAACAAACACAAGAAGACTCTGAAAGGTGGAAAGAATGTAGACTGTCTAGGAACCTTGGCACCCAGAAAGGACACAGGAGTGACTTCCCTATTTTTCTTTCTTTTTATATACACTTGGAACTGAAGTCCAAGCCCAGAAATGCCTATGGGTACAGATAAAAAAGTCCCCCCAAAAGCTTGTTTTTTTCTAGCCAAAGGACCAGGAAAGCGACAGCATAGCAAAATAAAAAAATTTAAGGCAATAATAGCTCTTCTTTAGCCAACACCATAGAAAAAAACCTGTAGCTCCATCTACAGCAGCAAAGAGTTGGAAGTCTTTCACCAGGCTGTGTGTGGTGCATGAGAAATCAGGCAGGGGTCCTGGACTTGCATTCCTGCCAGGAAAAATGAAGCCTCCCCTCCCCAGTGTCAGTAGAGACCACACAGGGAATCTAGACTTGTAGCCTCACTCTGTAGTGAGGAGGCACCCCTCCTTCCTGGGGTGGTGTCAGAGGAGGCTTAGTGGAGAACTAGGATTTTCACAAATACCTAGCAGTAATGAGGCCAATCCCCTGTCCCATGTTGTCAGATGAAGCCACCTGGAGCAGTAATGAGGCACTGGTACCTTTCCTAGACATGGAGGATTCAGTGAAAGCAGGGCAGATAGCAAAAAATTCCACTACCTCCGAGCCCTTCCCCACCATGCATTTCA